CCCCCCCCCAAAAAAAAACAACCAACAAAAAACAACCCTCCCACCCCCTCAATAAAAAACAAAACAAACAAACAAAACAAACTTACCCTCACCTTTATGATAACAATTAGGACTAAAATAAAAAGCACATTCTTTTTTTTAAAAAGTGCATAATATAATATACAGTATAATCTTCAGCGAGCTAATATTTATCCATTCACATTAAGGAACTAAAGGCAGAGTGAACGAATAGAAAAGGCTAACCTCTCAAACACATTCTTGTGGACAGACCAGAAAATCATGTTAATTTTCCGTTGGAACGGAATCACGACATAACTGTATTGTTAAAATACCCTTGGAAATATGAAAAAGAGAATAGATGGGAAAGGGAGCAGCAGAAACGACAAATTACTCTGTGAAGAATGATAAAAAAGAAAGGGAAATAGAAAAGAATTAAGTCACCAGTGATACGTACAGAAAAATAGACGAAAAGTTCACAGACCTCCGGAAAAATAGACGAAAAGTTCACTGACCTCCAAGGGGGCTCTAGTGGTCGAGAGGTTAAGGTGTTAGCCTCCCATTCTCGTTCGAATCCGGACAACGACAGAAAATTATCTTCTCTAAATTTTCTCCTTTTACCTCCTTTCCTGCTCTCTTACAATGTTCTGCCGTCTGCTTTCGTCCATACTTTCTGCCTCCACCCCCTCACCTTTATTTGCCTCTTCCTCTGGGCTCCTTACTCTTTCTGCAGCCTTTCTACTGCTACTCCTTGGACCCTTCTTACTGTTGTCTTTCAGCCACACCCCTGATCTGATGGTAGGTAAGATCTAACTCCTGGCGTTTGCGGTTAAGGCTGGACAATTTCGGAGGTCCTGTGGCAAGTTGCGCACGTTAAAGATCCCTTGGTGGTCCAAAATCGATTAGAGTAGGCTTCGACTGCCACCTGGGCAAAATTCAAATTTCCTGCTACCAACTGAACGTGTTTATGTGCCCCGTGGGTTTCACGTGACCTTATGCAGTTCCGAGCTCGTAAAACACTCCGCCCCCCAAAAAAAAAGAGAAAACCCACAGACATCCGACGGT